TCACCTGTTTCATTGTGCTTCTTACCACTTTCCATGTTGTATCATGGAATATTTAACACTTTTCTAATCACAGTGAATGATATAGCAGTGTGAAAAATGATACAATATCTGAGAGGGAGACTTGTGGTTAATTGTACGTTTTGGTTGTGTAAAAAACAGTTCTGGGAAAACCAAGACACCCTCAGCACCATGGAAGGATGGGTAAGATAGTGAGGATAATAGGAAAGTAGGGACCAATTAAAGGACCAGGAACTGAAGAATATCAAAGGAATAGAAACCCATGACACACTGAGAAGGAAGCTTTTCTGTTCTCATTCACGTTTTATTTAACTAGCTCCTAATTTTCTCTGCTTTGAAGCCTTTAAATCTTATTCACTTCTCTTCAGTGAATCTCCCATGCTGGTCAGTAGACATGTAAATCCCCATCTAGAACGTGGGCTATCTCTGAAAGTGTGCATTTGTATTCTAAAATGCCTATGGAGTAGTGATCAGAGCTTGAACATTTTACTAACCATGCTAGTTATGGGATTCAAAAAAGAAAGCTGAAGAGTAAGAGTAAGTAACTACTACCTCACAGAGTACTGGTATGTTCATTTTGGTAAAATAATTTTTGAATCAATATATCTGTACACTCTAAGCTATCCAGCAATTTAACTATGTGCAAGTGTATATAATGTACATTTTATTTATTCATTCATTTATTCATTCATTTTTATTTAACTTATATGCTGCCCATACTACCCAAAGATCTCTGGGTGGCTTACAACAATTTAAATGCAATAAAAAGATAAAACAACAAAAATACAATTAAAAATACAGTACTCTCAAAATTTAATGAGTGTGAAAAGAACAAAAGTTCTATTGTACTATGTTCATGTTCATATACAATATATAACTATGATACAGTATATACAGTATAACTGTAAAATGTTATACATATATATATTGCATATTTCCATCCATAAATTGCTTGCCTTGATCCTATACCTCATTAAATATATCCAATGTTCCACAAGCAACCCCAGGCGTAGTATATACCCCAATTTATTATTGTGTGGCTCTTTGTTTGTTAAAGGATGTCCATATAATTTAAGTGATCTAAAAACATAGTTTACCTGGTAATATTCATGCAGTATAGCATCTTAAGAATTCGCAGTTGTGGACAACCTTTCGACAGACACTTAAGTCCTTTGTCAGTAATATTGATGCAGCCTGAGATATCCAGGTAGTGAAGGTAAGTGCAGTTTGCGGCCACAAACTGAATCCCTACATCATTTACCTGTAAATCAAAATAAAACACAGGAAAAAAAAACAATGGTAAGAGATTATGAAGAGCAGCAACATTTTAAGCTCCATCTGTAAAATAATGAAAGTAATATTTTCAAAGTGTAAATCGTTAAAAAAATATTTACTCTAAGCGCTAGACTGGGACATAATTTCAATCGGTATTAAATGTGCTTTCTCATTTTAGGAAAACACAAAGTTCAGGATGTGACAAGGACCTCCTTCTGTTGGTAAAGAGTGGAGTAGCAGGAGAGAGATCTGTCCAGGATTGCTTCAATGGAATGATAAAAAAAAGCCTTCTGCGATGAAATGCTTAGTAAAATCCAATCTCACCACAGATTGCCCCCAACCTGTGTGATGCAGAAAAAGTGAAAAAGATCCAAAAATTATAGCCACGTGTGGGGCAGGCTTCTCTGCTTAAAGCAAGTTTTAAAATGGGAACTGTAGTGCTAGATGTAGGTTTCAGATTGCACCTCTGGTGATGTGAATTTTAGTGTCCTTTCCTCACTTCTTTGACAAAAGAGCTGCCAGTCATTCAACATTTCCCCTCATCCTTTGCCCTCTATTGAAACACATAGTTGCTTTTGATCTAGAACGGAGATACATGAACACATGGCAAACCCCTTGTGAGGGAAGTTGGGAGAAGAGACTGAGGACAACAGCTGCAAACTGAGGACAAATGCAATATGTACATCTCAGCAAGGAAGACCATGAGCAGTTGTCCTAGCTACTTGCTCACTCTACTTGCTCAACAAACTGTTGATGAGCAATTTCAATTAAAATCAGGCATGGTTGTGTTCAAAGACGGCACACTCTTAAATCAAAACTGAAATCAATGGAACTGAGACATATATAATTTTGGTTAAACTGTGCCAAGTCACTAGCAACAAAAATATCTCAGTCACTTCAGAAGAATAGGCTGAACAGAATCCTGGAATAATTTCCAGCAGAATAAATAATTACTGTTGTACCACCTCCAAGTCTTTAGCATGTAAAAAAGAAACAATGTTTATAATAGTATGGAGATACAATACATTAAAAGGAATCTCTAGCACTGTTTTAGTGTTGCTTTCATACATACCTTAGAACAACCAGCCATACTAAGAGTTGTAAGCTTATGGCAAGTGGATGTCAAATGTTTTAATGTGTGATTTGATAGTTGGTGGCAGAAAGAAAAGTCAATGTAGTCTAGTCTCCTCAAATCAGCACAGAACCTCTGGAATATAAGTACAAAAGTTCAAATGAATTTTAAGTATGTTTTCTGGTAAGTTTAGATTTAATGTTCTACAATGTGCACAAACTGAAAATTATTTGCTAATCTTCCCCAAACACGTAGGCATGAAATATATTTTTTCTTTTTATTCAACAATCGAAATAAGATCATGGGCATTATTATTTAATAGCTACATTCTAGAGAAATATCCTTGCACCATTTCTGAATGCTTCTGTGCTTTCCAGCGATTGTCTTCCAAACAAACGTCTCTTGCATTGCATTTATTAATATATACTGTATGCATCTTGGATTTATTAGCGTATATTTATTAGTGTGAAACTTTTAAAAGCTACAACCAGAAAGAAGACTTTGCATTCTTTTCATTGTTTTTCCCTCAGAAACTTGCAAAAAAGGGACTGATTAAGGTAGTATAAGGTACACAAGCCCTGTTATGTGAATGAATGAGGCAGCTGTCACCAGTGGAATCCTTTCACCCTCTTTTAAGAGAGAACAGGATGTGTCACGTGGCCTGTCCTGCACCTTCTAAACTGGCCTGCTGTTCTGAGAAATGAGGCAGGATGCTATCCTAACACCAGCAACAAAGTAGGCTTCAATTGGCGGTTCAGTCAGCTTCTATATGTGGAATGGGGAGATGGCATCATTTTGTTCTTTGCCTCAGACAGCAAAATGTCTTGGGAAAGCCCTCCTATTGATTTTAATTAATTCTTCAGTACTTAACAGACCAGGGAATTCTCACTTAATTTTAGAGAGAAATGTTCATATACAGAACACAGTCAGTCCCTTGTCTTAGGCCTGGAAGCAAATGAACCACAGAACAATTTACGAAGCACTGACTGGATATAATAGTGTCTTCTTAATTCTGAAAAGAGGATGACAAGAGCATCTACTATCAGTAGCTCCCAGTTATTAACAAGGGAAATGTTTAATTGAATATGTGACTATTTTTTACGTGAGTCATATTTCTCTTTATAAAATTCAAAACTACTAACATAATGAAAGTTTTGTAACAGAAATGATGCTTAAAACATTTTAGTAAACAAATAAGATAGGAACTAAAAGAAGAAAATTAAATGATTTGCACAAGGAAGGGGTGCTAGAACCAGGGCAAAGTTTCTTCCTGCCTCTAGCAATGGGAGAGCCAAGTGGACCCAGCCAAAGGGAGGAAGGTCTACTGTACAAAATGTTCCCATAACCCAGCAGGCTATAATTCAGCAAATTAAGGAAAATAAACCAGGTTCTTGTTTCTGGATCTTATGAGAACTGAGTGAAGTTATTATAAAGGAGCTCAGATGTCTGGACTGGATTTTAGATTGGACAGTAACCTATGAAGTACTTTATTGTTGTTGTTGTTGTTGTTGTTGTTGTTGTTGTTGTTGTTGTTGTTGTTGTTGTTGTTGTTGTTCTACAAATGGGGAAAAGAGGGGGGGGAGAACTTTGGCCCCTTTAAATTAATCCTATACATTTACAACATTCTGGATATGCAGACTGCTGCAAATATTCCAAGCCCATGGTTGAAGTATTTTAAATGCCCTGTCTTGTAGATTATCTCAGTCATAAAGAGCCTTTCCTTTATGCCTCCAACTAAGTGGGAGCTGCAATTTATAGAACCCATAGTGGAGAGCAATTAATTCACATCCAACTACATTGTACAAGTAATTCTCTAAAGTCAAGGTTTATCTATTATCCAGATATATTCTATCCACTTCACTACAGCATCATGAGATTATACTGTGATCTTTTACATGGAATCATAGAAAAACATGCAGTCTGTTTATCATTATAGCAATTAGCAGATCACAATGTTCTTCCAGAGGAGGGAGAGAGAGAAGGAAGGAACGAACGAACGAACGAAGGAAAACGTTTATTCTGAATACCAGGACATCAGATGGAATAAATAAGCATGTACAACTAGAAGAGGAACAAAAATAGCTCATTTTCCCTTTCTTCCTCTCTCCTTTCTCCCATCCTTCATAAATTTAAAGATTTAGACAAAACAGCTATGAATGTTTGGAGGCAAAAATGTGCACATGCCATTTGATAACAAAGGGACAGTATTTAACCTTACATTGTCTTATACAACATTTGCCATGGGGAGCTACGGCAGCATGCTCTGTCACAAACTACTGAAGTAATGTGGTAGTCAGTGGTCTGAGGGGGAGGAACCAATGCTACCACTCCTTCCAACATTAGTGCCATATATCACCAAAATGGAAGAAACAATGAAATGACAAGGAACTGCATTGTAGGCCTGACTCTTGTGATCCAAGACATCCCTCATTCATTGAACAGCATAACTGTCAGATTATATGATACCAAATGAACTGTATGATGTAGTGGTTAGAGTTTTGGAGAAGGACGCCTAGGTTCAGTTCACAAGGCCATATGTGATCTGGAGCATGTCACACTCTTTCACAGTGAAAGGCAAGATAGAAGCGTAACAAACATTCTTAAATATACAGAATTTCTTAACTTTAAATGCAATCATGTTTGCCATCTCAGGGTGCAATTGCACTGACAAGTAGAATTGGAGCAATATGACTTTGCATCAGCTTGATTTGTAGTCTCTTTTGTGACTGCATTCAGTTTAGGAGATCCCACAAAGATCTTAGATTGTTTCAGTGCCAGTGTCTATGCTGGCCCCTCAATTCAATGCGGTTCGATCAGCACTTGCAGTCCATCTTCCTTTGATACCACCCTCTTTCTTATCCTTGACTCTCCTTTTATGGCCTACTATCAAGCTGCTGAGACTTTTTAAAGGATTGCACAGCACTAAGGGGAAAGCAACAGTTTTTCCTAATCTGCACACAAACATACACAGGATGTAAACATTGTAGCCTGCTGGAATTAATTGGAGTTGTTTTGATTTTATATTTTTATCTCTCTCTTGTTTGTCTGTGCAGAGGTGATCTAGTGCTAAACGAATGTAGCAATGCAGTGATAAGGTGATCTAGCATTTGATTCAATAGTTTGTTTTTAAAGAAAAGTTTAAAAAATACTTCAGGGAGACTAGGGAGAAGGATCTAGAACTCATTTGTCTTTCTGGTAGTTCATAATATCCATAAAACCTTTCTCCAATACCACATTTCAAATTAATTAATTTTCCCATGTTAGTTTTATTGATTGCCTCGCTTTCACATCCATATATAGTAATTGGGAATTACAATAGTGCAGATGATCTTCTCCAGTGTCTCCAGTGTCATGTCCTTGTGCTTGAATCTTTTCTGCTTTCTTCACTGCTGCCCTTCCAAATCTCATTCTTCTTCTGATTCCTTGGCTGCAGCCTCCATTTAGACAGATGATTGAACTGAGGTATAAAAATATTTTAATAATTTCAATTTTTTCATTTTTGTCATTTTAATCTGTAGACATTTTGCCTCCTCAGTATTCAGCTGCAGTCCTGCTTTTCCACTTTGTTCATTCACCTTCATCAGGACTTATTTCAAGCCATTGCTGCACCATCTACATATCTCAGATTATTTATTCCATCACTTTTAATTCCTCCTTCCTCTGAATATAATCCAACTTCCAGCATGATATGTTCTCCATACAGATCAAAGAGAAAGAGAGATAAAATACATTCTTGACTGACACCTTTGCTTATGGGAAGCCTTATCTATCTATCTATCTATCTATCTATCTATCTATCTATCTATCTATCTATCCATCCATCCATCCATCCATCCATCCATCCATCCATCCATCCATCCATCCATCCATATCAGGAGGGAAGAAATGTGGTGTACCTTAGTTGGAAGCTCCCATGGATTGGGGACCACCAGGAAGAAGGACGCATTCCTTATTGTCACCTTTTTGTCTCCCTCAGATGGCTACTTTTAGCAACATGGATTGTGAGGAGTGGGTGAAAGGAGTAGCTGATTTTGGAGAGTAGAGTTCTGACAAGTATCAAGGTTCTAAACCGTTAAGGGCTTTACAGGTCATATTCAGAATTCTTTCCTAACAGTAGCTTCTTGTCCATAGTATAGAAAAGATCTATGTAGATCAGGTCAATCAAATGTTGAGGCACACCTATTTATTTTACAATAATTAATAGCTTCTGATGATTTTTACAATCAGTGGCTTTGCTATAATCTATAAAGCACAAAGTTATATTCTTCTGCAAGTCTTTAAAATGCTCAGCAACTATCATATATTTGGAATATGAGTTCCTTTTCTGAATCCAGCTTGAATTCTCACTTCAGTATCTTTGTTGCAACATCTGACATATTCTTGTTAGGAATTTGACAGATTCAATCCCATAGCTTAGAATAGTTTTACTGGCATCCAGTCTATACCTGATTATTTATTTTTCAAGAAATTGATGGCAGTTTTCACCTTATTTTCTGAAGTAGTGGGTTCTTCATTACATGACTTTTCTTCAAAGAAATCTATCATTCTTGCAACTTTTCTGTATAATTCTTCAGTATACTGTTTCCCTCTTTGTTTTATCCTGGTCAGAAATTAATCTTCCCTTGCTTATTCTTTAACATTCCAATTTTGGGTTTAATTTCCCCTTTATTTTTTTGGATTTAGTGGAAGAACTATCTTGTTTTTCCTTTTTTGTTGTTCTCTTCTATATCTTTATACTGATCGTTTTAATAGTTTCCTCTATTTCTATGAGAAATAATTAAAAGGCTGCATTTAAGATTCTGAATCTATATATACCAGCTCATAACTTTATTTTTTTAAGTGATGAAAAATATTATATTGTCAGAAAGATCAAATCACATAGCTCTTCACAGGTTTAAAAAGTGTTCATGTTAATTAAACTGTTTGATTTAAATAAGCAAACTGCTTCCACCTTGTGTGACTGGTTTCGTGGGAAAAATAATAAAGCAGAAAATGTTTCCGTAGCTCTTAACTAATCAAAGACTTCCAGGAAACCATTAACCTCACTATGTAAAAGTGTTAGAAAACAGCTCATTAAAGTGTGATGTATACCTTTAGTGTGATGCATACCTTTAGTCCATATAATCTTTATAATC